GGGTTTTAGTAACATGAGCCAATCATAAGAGGTTTCAGTCATTTTCTAAAGCCATCCTCTGGTTTATAAGTCGATCCCACACAACATTAAATATCATATCTTAAGATGTGATGTGAAAGACATTAAGCCCACAGACAGTAAATCGTGTAGACAGATCGAACCTTTACTAAAAGCAGCGTTTCGCTCAGTAAGATCTTTATAAAGTTGATAACACCGAATGAAACGTCGTTTTTAATGAAAGTTTGACTTTTCTATACGTCTTTTGAGTTACTGTGAGATGTGATATTCAAGTTTATCAAAACTACTTAAAACAACAAAGGAATACCTTTTCCTCGTCTAGAACTTTTTTCGGTGGACTCAACAGTAACTGAAAACTAATTAGAGTAAATCCTATTAATACATTCATGGGGAAGTGCTAAACCCCTGGGGGGTCATTTAGCACCTTGAAGAATGGGAGGCATTCAGATTCTATCCAAGAAAGGGAAGCACAAATCCAATTCTTTTGATGAAAAGTCGCTCACTGACACCAAGGAACCTCCCTGGAGGGAAGTAAATTCCCCTCGCCGGCATAAAGGAACTTTTCTGGAGGGGAGTAAATATCATCCTCCCTCACTGGCGTGAAGGAACCTACCTGGAGAGTAGTAAACATCTCCCTCACTGGCGTGAAGGAACCTACCTGGAGAGTAGTAAACATCTCCCTCACTGGCATGAAGGAACCTACCTGGAGGGTAGTAAACATCTCCCTCACTGGCGTGAAGGAACCTACCTGGAGGGTAGTAAACATCTCCCTCACTGGCATGAAGGAACCTACCTGGAGAGTAGTAAACATCTCCCTCACTGGCATGAAGGAACCTACCTGGAGGGTAGTAAACATCTCCCTCACTGGCATGAAGGAACCTACCTGGAGGGTAGTAAACATCTCCCTCACTGGCATGAAGGAACCTACCTGGAGGGTAGTAAACATCTCCCTCACTGGCATGAAGGAACCTACCTGGAGGGTAGTAAACATCTCCCTCACTGGCATGAAGGAACCTACTTGGAGGGTAGTAAACATCGCCCTCACTGGCATGAAGGAACCTACTTGGAGGGTAGTAAACATCTCCCTCACTGGCATCAAGGAACCTACCTGGCGGGGAGTAAATCCCCCAACAAGTGCACTATTTCCTCGAGTCTCAATCCTTGATCCTCCAGCATCAGTCTCAAGGTACACCTCTCAAGTATATTGTTTTATATGTTATCCTTTGAAAGTGGGTGCCTTTAAATGACGTGTTGCCACAAAGTTCTTAAAAATATTAAACATAATATAAAAAACTACATTGAACCCACTTTGTATCATTAGCCTGATAAAGAAACCTTATGAACCCACTTAGTGTCATTAGCTTGATAAAGAAACCTTATGAACCCACTTAGTGTTATTAGCTTGATAAAGAAACCTTATGAACCCACTTAGTGTCATTAGCTTGATAAAGAAACCTTACATTTAAGGAACAAAAGTGTTGCTATCAGTAATGCAAGGAAATTTATAGACTGGATAATTACAATCTTCTAAACAGAAGATGTAGAACCCATGACTATACACTTAAGGACACTTAGTATCTCTAGGCTAGAATACTGCGGTACACTAACGGCGAAGTCGCAGAACTAGGAAATGTACAGAGAACCTTCACTCTCTTTATAAAATTAGTCAGACACCTAAATTATTAACAACGCCTGAAGTCCCTTGAACTGTACTCCTTGAAACTGACCCGAGATAAGTGCATCATAATATACCCCTAGAAAACTCTGGAGGAATTGGCTTAAAATCTGCATACCAAAATTACTCCCTATGGGAGCAAGAGATCGGCAGACTGCATAATACCTCCAGGAAAAAGCAGGGTTGTCATGAGTACTGTATAGCCCTTGTGGCTTAGCGCTTCTTTTTGATAATAATGATGATAATATCCCTTCATATGTAAGGGAATTGCCAACAAATTCCTGGTTTCCTTTAAGAGGAAACTAAATATGTTCTAGCTCCTAATCAGCCGGACTGTGGTGCCTACGCTCAACAGCGTACTGCTAATGCCAATAGCCTGGTTGATTAGGCCTTCATAATTCAAGAAGCCGGGCCTGGGTCCATGCCGTGGCGGCAGTGACCCCCCGGAATCGTCTTCAGTTAACCTTCATGTAAATAAGATATAGAAAGTTTATACTGTAGGTAAGCCTGCTCTTTGGTCCTTATGGATTTATCGCCTCCCTGTGAATATAATGCTACAAGTACGCCTCCTGCCTGATGCTGGAATTGTAAATAAACAAACCACGCGTGGCATTCAGGTCTTGTTTTGGAGGGAGAAAAAGAGGAGACAGGATCACGACGCAAAAAATACCCCAGGGCATGAGCAAGATTAATCAGAATAGCTTTCACAACTGGAGGAACCGAAGAACATACATGAATTGTATTTATTATCATTAATTTTATTAGTATTATTATTATTATTATTTATATTATTACTGTTATATAAAAAATTAGGTGACGAATGATTGGATATCAGATTGGAGGGAGAAAGTATGGAGGTGAATGTATTCAGATATTTAGGAGTGGACGTGTCAGCAGATGGGTCTGTGAAAGATGAGGTGAATCATAGAATTGACGAGGGGAGAAAGGTGAGTGGTGCTCTGAGGAGTCTGTGGAGACAAGGAACTTTGTCCATGGAAGCAAAGAGGGTAATGCTCGTATATGGGCGTGAAGCATGGGTGGTGAATGTTGCAACAAGGAGAAGGCTGGAGGCAGTGATGTCATGTCTGAGAGCAATGTGTGTTGTGAATATAGGACAGAGAATTCGTAGTTTAGAAATTAGGAGGAGGTGTGGGATTACCAAAACTATTATCCAGAGGGCTAAGGAAGGGTTGTTGAGGTGGTTCGGACATGTAGAGAGGCTGAACGAAATAGAATGACTTCGAGAGTGTATAAATCTGCAATGGAGGGAAGACGAGGTAGGGGTCGGCCTAGGAAAGGTTGGAGAGACGGGGTAAAGGAGGTTTTGTGTGCGAGAAGCTTGGACTTTCAGCAAGCATGCGTGAGCGTGTTAGGAGAGAATGAAGACAAATAAAATGGTTTTTAGGACTTGACTTGCTGTTGGAGTGTGAGCAGGGTAACATTTATGAAGGGATTCAGGGGAGCCGACAGGCCAGGCTTGACTCCTGGAGATGGGAAGTACAATGTCTGCACTCTGAAAGAGGGGTGTTAATGTTCCAGTTTTATAACTGTAGTGTAAGCATACTTCTGGTAAGACAGTGATGGAGTGAATGATGAAAGTTTTCCTTTTTCGGGCCACCCTGCCTTGTTGGGAAACCGCCGATATGTTAATAAAAATTAAATAATAGTTACTATTATTAATTATATTATTATTATTATTATTATTATTTATATTATATTTTTTTCTTTTTTATTATTATTATTATTATTATTATTATTATTATTATTATTATTATTATTATTATTATTATTATTACTATAGTATTCATGGTAAGCTGAAGACGTAAAGGTCATACAGAAGCTGGGGATAAAAGGTAATTAGGTTCGATCAAAGGTGGATCAAGAGCCTTTCGTCAGCATTAAGGCACCTTGAAGAGTATAATAAGTAAATGCTAATAATGGCAATTTTAATATAAATATTAATTATTGTTATAGTAGTACTAGAAGAGTCGTTTGTTGATTTTATTCAGGAAATAGAGCCAAATAGTATTTATAATGATAGGAAGTTTGAAGAGAAAGAATCACTGGAGTATACCTGGAGAGGGTTTCGGGGGTCAGCGCCCCCGCGGCCAGGTCTGAGACCAGGCCTCGTGGTGGATCAGAGTTTGGTCAACCAGGCTGTTACTGTTGGCCGCACACAAACTGACGTACGAGCCACAGCCCGGCTGGTCACGTACTGACTTTAGGTGCCTGTCCAATGCCTCACTAGTCGTATAAAAATTATACGACGGGATTAGTATTCTTTTGTGAAGGACATCAAATGTACTTCATTATATCTACGTTAAATTATTTTGCAAGATATACAGACCATGAAAAGGTTTACAAAATATACACATAGAATTTGCTTTAATGCCTGTTATACGGATTAAAATATCTTTGACATGGTAGTGTAGAGGTGGCATCCGTAGGTGATACAATGGACCCTGGAATTTCATCCCTTTTGTGTATGTAAAACTAGAGTTATTCTCTATAAAATATATTTCCCATAAGAAATAATGTAAATCCAATTAATCCAATCCAGGCACCGAAAAATATTAACAAAAAAATACATTTTATAGAGAATAACTATTGTGTTACATACAGAAAAGGGATGATGAAATTCGAGGGTCCACTGTATTATAAACGTAATGAAGCAATGAATCCTTTCCTAACGGTTATATTGATGTCCTGTTGTTGAAAGCCTGTGTTGTCTGTTGCCAGGAGGCTGCCCTTGAAAAATCGATTTACTGTAGACTGATGCGTTGAAAAGAATGAGATTTTCTCTAATACTGATTTTAATAAGATTAGTACTGAAATATAATGCTGCTTGTAGATTTTATTCCCCAAGGCAATTAAAATAAAGCTATAGAAATTTTTAATTTGATTAGACTGTTTTATATTATTATTATTATAATCAAGGGGGAAGCACTAAACCCATAGGATTATACAGTGCTTGGGGGAGGGATGGAAGGTATTCAGGTTTAACTCAGGGAACTGGAGCACAGATCCAGTTCCCTAGATCAAGAGCCCCTCACCAGGACTGTTTTATAGTAAGCAGAATTAAAAGTAAGGTTAGGTTTCGTTACTGCATTAAGGTTTGCTGGGAAAAATATAAACTGGGATAGCAAAAATGTGCATAACATTAGTTAATTTATTTTAATGAATCATCAGGCGTTCCAAAATATATTAATTAATACTAACATTAATGATGGTCGAAAGTCTAGAAACTACTGAGGTCTTCCCTGAATTCCTGCTCCATCACAAATTATTATTTTTCTTGCAATAATTGCTCTTATATACCTAACCAACGAGTTTTGTAGGAAAATGTGAATATAATTGTTGATGATACAGCATTGTACGCCCCTACGAGGGTCACCGCAGGACGCGACCCGTGGAATTTTTAAAGTGCATCATTCACATAACGTATGTTGAAAATATATGTTAGAAATAGATAATCAAGATATATAAATCAGATGGATTATCAAAGCACTAAGCTTACGTGACTGAACATATTAAAATAACTTGTAATAACGAGCGGCTCAATAAGGTATACATATCAAGAAACTTACAGTCAATGGTGGGAGTGAATGGACAGATTTTACGGTATTTTCAAGCCTCGGTCCATGACCGGCAGCTTTATGGATTAGCAGGCAAGAACGGGCTATCAATCAGAAGTTTCCGCGGGTGAGAGGTCAGAGAGAGCCGGAGATAATCCCTCTTGTAAGTGTGACCAAGGAAGGAGGAGCTAGCTGTAGGCTCCTCCTCCATGGTGTGTACCCGCCCCCTGCCAAGCCACACTTCAGTGCTCACTCCGTCGTCGTGAGGGGAGGTTGTGCCGCCTCTCGCTCTAGACCCCTTCCTCTTGTGCCCTGCGAAGAGGTACAACTCTTACCACCTCTCATGTGATATTTCGCGGTTCCCTACAAATTATTCGTAGTGGCTTACGGGGTGTAATACATAGCTAGAGTGTTTGAAATTCTAAGTGATTTGAATAAGTGCTAAATTCGAAGAATGTGTAACAGATTACGTTAGTGCGGTGTTCGATGTGATTGTATCGGTATTTCCTGATTGATCGTAGTTGGAAAGCAAGGTGTTGAGGTTGTGGTTAGAATAACGATGGTCTTGTATGGGTGTGTGGCTGTGTTGGCGGCGCTGGTCCTGCAGGGGAGGCTGGCAGAGGCCACAGGCGGCAGCTACCTGCAGATGTATGAGGCCCAGTTCAACCCCCCAGACCCGTGCTACGACGAGTCGGGGGGACTACCCAAGAAATGCGTTCCCGACTTCATCAACGCGGCGTTCGGTCGTCCGGCGGAGACGTCGAGCACGTGTGGTACGCCTCCGTCGCGCTACTGCGTCACCTCTTTGGAGAAAGGTAAAGTGAATCGTCAGTGTGACGTGTGTGATGCCAGCGACCCAGGGCGCGCCCACCCCCCACACTACCTCACCGACCTCAACAACCTCAACAACCTCACTTGCTGGCACTCCGCTCCCGTCGACCCCCTCAAGCCAGACAACGTCACCCTCACACTCTCCTTGGGCAAGAAATACGAACTCACATACATCAACCTGCAATTCTGCGGACAGAAGCCTGATTCGCTCTCCCTCTTCAAGTCTATGGACTACGGGCGGACCTGGATCCCTTTCCAGTACTACTCCTCACAGTGTCGCAAGGTGTACGGTCGCAGAAGTCGCATGGTGATTGGCAAGGCAAATGAGCAGGAAGCTCTGTGCACCGACGCTCACCTCAGCCACAACGACCCGCTGACAGGCTCCGGATCCACCAGGATTGCCTTTAGCACGCTAGACGGACGACCTTCAGCCGACGACTTCGACTCCTCGCCGGTGCTACAAGACTGGGTCACAGCAACAGACATCAAGGTGGTGTTGAACCGACTGCACCCGGAGCTGGACGAGGCCACGGCGGATAATGAGAGCGTCGCTCAGGAGAGCTTCAGCTACGCCGTCGCCGATCTGGCCGTCGGTGGACGCTGCAAGTGCAACGGCCACGCGTCGCGTTGCATCCCTGACAAGACTACCGGGGAGCTGGTGTGCGACTGTGCCCACAACACTGCAGGACGCGAATGTGAGAAATGCAAGCGCTTTCACTTCGACCGTCCCTGGGGTCGAGCTACCGACCACGAGGCCAACGAGTGCGTAGGTAAGTACCTGGAGAGTGACCTGGTTCCAGCGCTCCGTAAATCTTAAACCTTCAAGGGAGGTTGCATGATGCCGGTAAGGGGATCATGATGCAAGGAATAGAATTTGATTCCCTCCCATTCTACCAAGCGCTGTAAGATCCCTTCTGTATGTACCCGGCAGCACAGTCGGAGTTCATAGACTCCAACCTAAAGTGTTACTTACTTATTCTCTTAAATAATCTCTCTCTCTCTCTCTCTCTCTCTCTCTCTCTCTCTCTCTCTCTCTCTCTCTCTCTCTCTCTCTCTTCATATATATATATATATATATATATATATATATATATATATATATATATATATATATATATATATATATATATATATATATATATGTGTGTGTGTTAATTTGCTTCCACAGTAAATTCGTGTATGCATGACGGACAGCTAGGTTGATGGCCGTTGATGTCTCCCGAGGGATCTTCATATACCGTAATGAAACATGTTTAGTCTCTTATGTTTTCTTGTAATTGGTTGTCACCTTCCAGATGTAATATAGTAATAAAGCGGTTCATGGTCGCTAAGCAACAAACACTGACCGGAGGAGCTGGGGAAAGAGGAAGTGGGCGATGCCAAAGTTTCATTCATGTTCAACTTACACACATGCACGCACACACACATACAGACTCGCTCGCGCACACACACAGACGAACACATACAAACGCACACACTCACTGATGACACACAAACGTACACACTCACTGATGACACCTGTCACTCACACTTACACCCAGCACTCTCGCTCTGCTGCTCCTCACCCTTGTCTCTCAGGGCAGCCACACTCCCACCATCACACTTAATACTCTTGATACCTGTGTAACAAGCGTTCGCCTCGCAGCCCACAGAACCCGGGTTCCTTCCATTCCCGGGGACAACTAAAGAAAAAGGTCTGCTTAGTTACTTTGAACTCGGCCTAATGATCATGAGGAAGAAACTTACGATCAAGTTTACTTACATCTGTTATCTTACTGATATAAATAGGTACCTTGGTATTATATATATACCGTCGATGAATAAGACGCATGTGTATTACTTAGACATCTTCATTGCCGAAACGTTTCTCGCCTGCACTTCAGACTTCTTCAGTAGAATACATGCGAACGTAACACTTGAGACAGTAGTAGTAGTTTTGACGTAACATTTCGGCAATAAAGATACCCAAGTGTCGCACCTAGTTCATCAGGTACCCTTATGTTAGTTGACCGTTGGGGGTATTAGACAGGGCTGAGCTTTGAAATAACCTGATGCAAGATAACTCTTAGCCTGTAGATTATCTTTTGTAAAAAATAACATTTAGCTATCATGCATGTCACGTAAGGATGTCACGTATGACCAGTGACGTTCGAGTTTTGCGTGCCAGATGACGTAAGGGGTGTCATTTATGTCAGACATGTGTCACGTGTCAGATGACATAATAAGACTTGTGTCGTGTACAAGAAGCGACGTGCAAGTATCACGTTCCAGGCGACGTAAGGCGTGTCATTTATGACAGGTAACGTGTGTCACATGTTTGATGACGTGAGGAGGCGTTTCTAGTACGGTAGGTGATGTATTAGTGTCAGATGACGTAAGGAGACGTGTGTCACGTATGCCAGTTGACGTGAGTATCAGAAGACGCAAGGTTGGCCGTGTCACGTATGACATGACTCAAGGCGTTGTGTCACGTATGCCAGATGACACAAGAAGGCATGTCACGTACGGCAAATGACGTACGAGTGTCAGTTGTCACATGACGTACACATTGCAAGAATACTGAGTGAGCAGTCAGGTCCCACAATGGTGTGGGAGTGACCTTGGGATGGGGGCGCGTGTCTTGAATAAGGGTGCTTGTCTAGCCAGGGTCGAGGTGATGTTTGTAACGATATATATATTCCACTCACTCACTGTTATTGTGAATCACAGCAAAATATTCTACAAGACTGGCTTAAAGGAATGTATGATATACGCGGACTTATCGCTTAGTAATAATAATATTAAAGAATGATCTTCTTGGTTAGACCAGTTATTGGCCGCTTTATATATTTTTTTTTGTAATTAAAAACAAAAAAAACTTTCATTGTTAAAATTACATGAAATTTTTACTTAGCCAGATGACCTAGGCCCGCATACTCACCACTGTAAATGCTTGGGACCGGTTTCGTGGGTTCTAGCCTTGCAGCGAGCAAGAGAGGCTGAGGTAAAATAACCAAAATCTGCGGACCAGACTAAATGTCACCTGGGGTATTACCCCCTAAAATATGACACAGTGAACAAAATGAGTTACCAAGTAGTAGTAACAGAAATACACTCCAGAGGTTGAAGTACAGCTGGGACAAATTTATGACGGAAGAGTTTGATATGTAAAGAAGCTGAAATAAACATCAGTGTTTGTGTATATTTCGCCTGCTCTTGCGAATTCCTTGCATATATATATATATATATATATATATATATATATATATATATATATATATATATATATATGTGTGTGTGTGTGTGTGTGTGTGTGTGTGTGTGTGTGTGTGTGTGTGTGTGTGTGTGTGTGTGTGTGTGTGTGTGTGTGGTGTGTATGTGTGAGTGAGTGAGTTTGGAAAGCGTCTAGATCAGCCGACCCTACACATTGCAGCAGTTTTCACACTGAGTACAAATAAATTCGCGGTCTGCATAGTCTGAACTGTTCAAGCTCCGAAGGCTGGCATGTTCAACACAATGAGATCATCAAGAGAAGCCTTGCTACTGTGCGGTGCCCAACCGAATGAGAACCCCACTCTTTTCTACCTAGCACCCCGGATACGCCTGCCCACCCGCCGCCCTGACCGGATCACAGTATATCCTTGGAAGAACAGTCGATTACTGGTGTGGGACTATACTTGTGCATCTACCCTGGCCGACACCTACATCCCATTTAGTGCTGGTTAGCAGGGCGGTGCTGATGAACACAGGGAAGATCATAAGCTCAACAGGTATTAGGATTTGGCTCACCAGTACCACTTCATTTCTAGAGGTTCAGAGACCCTTGGCTTCCGGGGAAAACATGCCATGGCTTTCCTCAGAGAGCTGGGTTTCTGGCTCATGGAAACTATCAAAGACCCGAGAGCTGTCACTTTTCTCTTTCATCGCCTCAGTGTGGCGATCCAGAGAGGAATGCTTGCTGTATCTTGGGTTCCCGCCCGGCGTCTAAGGATCTCGTGGAGCTCCGCAGCTTAAATTAAGATTTTAGGTTCGCAGTTATGTATGGATGTAAATGCTCTAACTGCCATATTCATCACTTCATCAATATATATATATATATATATATATATATATATATATATATATATATATATATATATATATATATATATATATATATATAATATATATTTGTATGTATGTGTATGCGGCATTATTAATTAATAACCAAATAGAAAATCCCCAGAATCAACAGTGTCGGAAATTTACCACTGGGTGGATGGCTCGTTTTCTCTGCAGCAGGAAAGGCACTGTAAATGAGTTTTGCATAGTTTCCGCATCAGCTAATGGTAAACTATTGTGTTGTGTAATAATACTTGAATACGCGTGTGAGGTTCGCTGCATGAAAGGAACGCTGAGGGTTATGTTTTCTGTACAACATATAGCAAGAGTTGATGAATAATAACAATGATGATTCATATTCTGCAGGAAATTTAAAATGCGCAGGTTTGAGCAGAGATGTGATAGTGCGTTTTAGATGCATTTTATGGATCGCCTGAATGTTTGTATCCTCCCTCACTAGCAGGTAAAATAGAAATATATAATTATATAGTTTTATATATGCCTTTTTTTTAATTTCGAACTATAACTGAATAAGCAAATCTATCTCCATTAAAATTTACGTAATGTTGTATAGCAAAAATTTGAAAAAAAAAAATGAAAAAATTGTGTACGGTAATTATTATTTTACTATTTTGTGCAGAAGGAGCGAATCTTTCGGTAATCCCATTTTTTGTAGTGGCCAGCCAGGCAGTCATAAAAAAGTTGCCAAAGATTGTGAGCTGCCCTACCTTTTCTGGGATCGGCGCAGATTATTTTCCATTCCTCAGGCGCTGTATGATCTCCCTACGGGTTTGACGCTTAATTAATGCTAAATAGACAGGATTGGGATGTACATGACTATACATACTCTGGGTGTGTATAGTCATGTATATAACGAGATTTGCATATTGTAAATTATTAATAGTTCCGAAGGAAGGTTGTGGTGATAGTAGCGCTGTGGTGGAGATCACAAAGTTAACAGCGTCACAATACACAAATAACCCGCACATAGAAAGAAACTTATGACGACGTTTCGGTCGACTCTGACCATTGACTGGTCACACTAACACCTTCGTTTGTTAGTATACCAGTCAATAGTCCGAGTCGGACAGAAAAGTCGTCATAAGTTTCTTTCTCCTATGTGCGGGTTATTTGTGTATTGTTCCAGTCACGGTATTATGTTGTTAACGAAAACAGGGGACGGGATTCCTACCTATCTGAGGCTAAATAAGGTTGTCAGGAAACAGAACAAGTGTTTAGTGATGCGGGTCTTAGTCACATGATGACTCGCAGCTGGAGCTTTTGGTCATCTGGCCTAGACCTTCCTCTGGCTTACCTGTCCATCCCTTAAAAAATTATGGTTATGATTATAACCATTAGATTGCAGCTGAGAAGAGTGCGGAGCTTATAGCTAACTGACAAACGAGGCCCTGGAGTATGGATAAAACTCGGGGAGGGCGGAGCTACCGACACGAAGGTCAAAGGAGGCGGGGTTAGAAGCCCGTAAGTGTGTATAAAGCTCTGTGAGGGTGGAGCTACTGACACAAGGGTCAGGAGGCGGGTTTGAGGCCTTGGAGTGTGGACAAAGCTATTTGAGGGCACAACATCTTCAGGTGTCAAAGGAGGCAGGGCTGCTGACAAACGAATCCATTTATTAGTCTGGGGGCGGGGCTACTGACAAACGAAGCCATTTATTGGTCATGGGGCGGGGCTACTGACACGAAACCGTTGGTGATAGGGCTGGGCTACTGACACACGAAATCATCTGTTGGTCAGTGGGGTGGAGCTACTGACACAAAAACATTTATTGGTCAAAATAGGTGGGGCTACTGTCAAAGCCATCTGTCAGTAAAAAGGGAGCGAAGTTATTAGTCAAGGGGGCTGGGTTAAAGGAAGGGGTTCTGGAGCAAGGATAATATCTGGGAAGGGCGGGGCTACTGACATACGAAAGTCGTCTA